GTTCATATAAAGGATCATAAAAAGGAATAAAAGCAATTTTCAAATAAGAGATAGGCAATTCTAGCTTAAAATCTAGTTACAGAAATGAGAAAATGAGCAATCACTTACCACAAAAAGCTGTGTTGAATGCACTATAAGCACAACCATCAAAAAGAATAAGCCAGTGTATAGCGGTGCCACTGGTACTCCAGCAAGTGCTTCGGCAAGAAATACAAAAATCAAATGTACTCCATCTAAAAACTTAGGGAAGATGGAGTTGGAACTCTTGAGGAAGATCAATAGGATTACCTCGTATTTGGAATTTATCCAAAGAGATAGAGAATTCAAAACATGTAAACCCAATTGCCGAGAATGTTAGTACACAAGAGACTATTGACGTGAGTACATCAACCGTGAGGATAATCCAGATGTCCCTGGAAACATTTCATGCCATAGATCATAAAAGAAAATCATGAACTCAGGAAAAGCCAAAATACTCACTTGAACAGGTTATTATGAAAGCGATTATAACTCGATATTGTGTAGAGGCCTCCAATACAACAGGAGACCGAATAAAATGCATGTACGGCGGCCTCTCCCCACACCTAAGCATTTTTTGCCGTTAAAAATGAGCGAAAACGCTGAATAAGGAGTAGACTCACCGTGAGATCTTTGAGAACATACCAGTCTGGCCTCAGAAAATGCCAAAGAGCCGCTCGGGAGCCTTCAAGGGTTAGCAATCGAGCAAGTAATACTATGAGGATAATGAATGGTAGTACAACTACAACGTAGACTACCTAAATTATGGAACATTAATACTAAACCATTAGGGTAATAAGTTAGAAAAGAAAAACAAATATAACATTAAAAATACCTTTCCACTTGACTTTACTCCTTGAAAAAGGCATAGAAACACTGCCACCCATGACAACAACACACAAATTCCTAGATACCAGTTCAGTGTGCCTATATCGGTAAAACTATTCGATAGCATCAAAACGTCTTCACTAAAAAGCATTATTGGTGAAGCAAACGCAAACCAATCATTAAAAAAGCAACACTCACTGAAAATATCGAAGACTGGGTATAGATTGAGGACTCGTGCCAGAGATCACAACTGTGGAATTAGCTTGCTAAACGGAAATTTTGTAATTATCCTTGCTGTCCACAACTTCTTGATAGTTTAACACAACATTAAGTTTCCAGTCATTGTGCGATATCTACATTTACTACTCCTAGGTGATATACTGAGCGTTCATACTTCATAGATGCCACTTTTGTTATGAAAATTATTTCTGTATCAGTATGCAACTTCCATG